CAGGATCTGCCGGGCAGCCCTGCGAGGGACTGGTAACCCTGGGCAGCCGTCATGCAGAAGTACTTTCGTAGCAGATTTGGCAACTTGTGGGACCTCCTTGGACTCTGCGATTCTGTGGTTCTCACTTGGGACATAAATTCTTTAAAAATCAGTGTTCCTAATTAATGTAAGCAAATGAAGAAGAAAACACGTGTTTATTCCCTCACCGCCCCGTTTATAGTTCAGCTGAACCTCTGATCTCAGAGCCACGGCTACACAGGCTGGGAAAGCCCGAGCCACCGGCCTCAGCCCCCCGAGCCCCTGCAGCCACTGCTGTCCCCAGTGGCCAAACCAGTGAACCCTGCAGGGCCACCCAGTTCTGGACCTGAACGTCCCAGACCGTGAGGCTTCGTGGACCTGTTCTCTTTGGAAAGTTGGTGCCCTCGGGTATTTTGCTGTAGTAATGAAAAAACTAAGTAATGCAGTGACCTTGACGCAGTTCTCTCTGCAAACCGAGTGGAACCCACCGATTCTGCCTTCCTGTCTGAGAATCCCTGGTACTCACCCCAGTGGGGTGGGGGTGGCTGGTACGTTCCCTGTGTGGGGTGAACAGCCGCTTTGTGTGCCCAGCCCACATCCGAGTGCCTGCTTCGATGCACAGCTCCGATCCCGACGCCAGCTCCCTCCTTCCGCAGACTTCGGAGGCAGCTGTGATGGCTCAAATGACGGGATTCCTGCCACCCCTGTGGGAGACCTGGAGCGAGTGCCCCACACAGGGGCTGTGGCTGGCATTTGGAGAATGAGGCGGCAGAAGATCTCTCTCTCTCTCTCTCTCTCTCTCTCTCTCTCTAATATATAGTTTAAAGAAAGAAAAAGCCAGTGAGAAGTGGCTCTTCCGAGGGAGAGGCAGGACTTCCCAGCAGAGGCTGTGCTGTGTGTGGGGATTCCTGTGGTGTGGTGGCCGTGGTCCCAGCATAGCCCCTGTGGGTCGGCCTTGCAGCCCGAGTGGGCTTGCTCCCCTGGGCCTCCTGCGAGCGTGTGGTCACCTGTCTCCTCCCACTCTCCTTCTGGGATTCCAAGAAACCACGGCTGGAGCCACCAGTGTGCTTCTGTGTTCCAGGCAGTGATTTCTGGGGCGGCTTCTAAAGACCAGAATGTGAAAGTGACAACAGCAGTTCAGGTGGGAGATGATACTGCTCTCCTGGACCAAATCGCTGTCCAAGTGTGCGGGCGGCACTGCCGGCTCCGGTTTCAGCTCGCACGTGACTCACACGGGTGACCCAGACCCTCTTTCTGCGCTCACGGTAGGACGTTGCCTTGTGTGTGGCATGCGGAGCGGCAGTCTGCGGCCATGCCGGGTTGTCAGAGAGAAGCTGTTTACACCCTGCGTGCCCCCGTGTGCGTCCCTGGTCAGCACCGCTGCCGATCTGTGCAGTCGTGAGCGCCAGCGCGGGGGCTGTTCTCAAAATGCTTTTCAGGCGATTGAGAAATGAAAACGTGAAGGGTCTTTTTGAGAAGTCGGGAGAAACGCCCGGCTCCCAGTGCTGCTCCGTCTCGAGCCCGTGCTCGGATCGCCTGGAGGTGTCGATCCCTCTCCTCTGGGTTGGGCCTGACGTGCGTTTCCTGTGACTTCTCAGGGACAGCCCTAGTGGCCCCTGCCAGGGGCGAGCGCGCTTGCCGCGGGCCTGGGTCTTGCAGCTGAGATCTCTTCTTGCCAGAGCCGCGGAGAAATCCTTCTCAACCTGGATCACCACCCCTGCACCCTCTCCCAGTCTCCTCTCCACGTCTCCCGGGGCAGGGCCAGCCAGGAAGTGGGCGTGCAGGAGGGAAGAGAGCCGTGTTAGCAAGCCTGGCCGGTGTGCCTCCTGGCCCCCAGCTCCTAGCCACCTCCCTGTGTGGCCAGGCACTGCTGCTGCCGTCACCGTCACCATCGCCGTCACCGTCACCGTCACCGCCCTGTCCAAGACTCATTGGCACAGTAGAGCTGCCCCCACTGGCCCCTGTGACACTTGGCCAGAGGTCTCTGATTTGCAAGACCCTTCTGCAACAGCCCTCGGACACGTGTGGTTTGACGTGTTATATGTAAACATGTATGACCTGTGGGCAGTATTTAAATATAAGGCACTATCATGGCATTTGAATTCAGTTTTTCTCCTGTGGGATAATCCATAAGTCTGAGAGCCCGAGGAGCCCTTCCCGCAGGGTCACAGGGCCGCCCGGCTCATGGCGCTATGTGGCTCCATCGTGTTCTGGCCAAGGGACTCCACCCCCTGAGTCACTCGGCCCTGCCCGGTTCCCAGCAGCCCGGGTCACCCCTTTCCTGGACTCTCCCAGTCGGGGTGAGAGTGGCTTCCAGAAATGCCCCTCGTGTTCTCCTGTTCCCCTGGCACTCGGGGCCTTCCTAGGCTGCCCCAGGACGTAGCACACAGGAAGTTGTTCTCCTGGGGCCATGCACAGTACAGCACAAGGAGTGAATCTGTTTGGTGTTTTTCTTTAGCATCTCAGAGTGGCGCTCATCTTTCCTCCCACTCCCAGTCTGTCGTAGCTGAGTGGAGGTTTGGGAGGGAGAGACATGGGCTCAGCAGGCCCTCCTGGAATAGAACCCCCCTCCATCCCCGCTCCTTGACTGCACCTGCATTTCTGGGGAGCTGGGCACATCCTCTGTGCTGCGTGGGTGTGCAGCCTGGGCCCCCGGCCCTCGCTGGGCTGTGCATGCCCACTGCCCTGTGTGGCGGGGTCTCGGGCTGCAGAGGCGCAGCCTCCCCCGGAGTTGCTGGCCCCAGACTGAAGGTGTTGGGCCCGGCGATGCTGACGCGTTCGGAGGGCCCCTTGAGGCATGGACCACCAGCAGGAACCACAGTAGCACGGCGGGAAGGAGGCGGGCAGGAGGCGGGCCCTGCCATATCCCATCGGCTGCCAAGTTCCTCTGCACCTGTGGCCCTGGGCCTTCTCTGTCTTGAGGGAGCCCTGCCTGCTGGGACTTTGCTGCCCCTGGCATACTGCTTATGAGGAGCGTGGTCGAAAGTGGACATGGCCATGCCCGTGTGGCGGGGGTGGTCCGTGCTGAGGCCACCTAAAGAAACCCACAGCAGTCTCTGGGGTGTCAGATAATACACCTGGTGGGGTCAAGGCTGGGGAGTGGGGACGGGGCTCCCAGGCCCCCCAGCTCGCGCAGCATTTGACGAGCACGTCAGCTCAACCCGAGTTCACTGAAGATCGTCTGCATTGGGATTCTTCCCTTACCAGGATCCCGAGTTTTCCTAGCATCAAAATGCATCAGCCTAATTGAGTTCCTCGGGAAGCTATGAAGTCATCTCTCCCCATGCCTCCTAATTGGGCTGTTTCCCTTTCTTCTCTCCTTGCGGCCTTGGTCGGCAGAAGGATCCTTACGAGGCTAGGATTTGCTCATAAAAGTAGCCTCCTGCCGGCCAGAGTTGTCTGAGTCCATCTGCACGGAGCCCCGGGGGTGTTGTCTGAGCCCCTGGCATTGGTCAGCGCGGGGAGGGACAAAGCCTTCTGAAGCTCAGAGCGGCTCCTGCACCAGGAGCACCGCGGGTGATCCCTGGGCCCTGGTATTGTTGGAATTCCATCTGAAATGGATGATGCAGAAGTGTGAGGCCACAGGAGGACTCGTGTGAGGTTTTGTTATGCTAAGTCTAAAAACTGTAGGAATCCCAGGGCGGGGGTGGGGAGGGGGTGGTAATGATTTGAAGCGATTGCTTGTGGATTATTGCATCAGCGGTCGTGCCTGTCTCTCTCCCGCTGACTTTCTTACCAAGCAGGGAAGCTGCCGTTGCTTGCGTCTGCAGCATCGTAACGCTGTTCACTGGGTTGGTCTCTGTGCCAGGGTTGGTTTCCTGTGGCTTAGATTCCAAACACCAAGGCATGATGCGCTTTGCCACGCGTTTTCTTTAAATAGTAAGGGCTTGCGGAGAAACTGACCTTCCAAAGGTTGGCAGTTGCCAGGGGGCCGTTGCCAACCTTCATTACGTCTCCCAGTCACCATGTGTCATGGCGGTCAGAGTCCCAAGCCGGCTCAAGATCACCTCTGTGTTGGTGACACTCGGTTATGATTTGAGAAAATTAAAAAGGCGCATTATTACAGTATTGGTAGTTGAATTTGAACTTCGTCACATCACACAAAAGCGCCTACCAAATTTTTTTCTCCCACCATGGCACCCAAGGGAGAGCAAAATTAGGAGGCTGACGGAAGTGTGTCAGAATTCCCGGTCCCAGTGAATCGGTGGTAGCCGTGTGCTTTCTTGGTCTGACCACCAGGTCAGCTTACAAACGGACCATTGCCGTAGTAAGAAGGGTCTCCCGTTCTCCTTGCGTTACGTTACGTTGATGGGGTTAGGAGGGGACAGGAAAGGAGGGAGACAGAGAATCATGATGGAAAAGCTGGGTCCAGGAGTCCTGAGCAAGAAGCCCCTCCCTGGGACCGAGGGCTGGAGGTCCAGGCGTTGGGCTGGCCAGCGCCCTGTGGGCCCTCGGTCTCCCTAGCCCAGCAGAGCCTGCGACCAGGTGGGAGCGTCGCTGGGACCCGGCAGTTAAAATGAGAGGGAACACGCGTCGGCCCTTCAAGGAAGCCTGGGCTCCACGTGGCTTCCGCTCCCACCGCGTTCTCACGAAGCCCAAATGTGAGCTCATTAAGAACGGATTAGAGAGGATTACACACAGTTCATTAACACGGTTAACTGAAGTTGGCACACGGAATTTCAGTTTTAACAAATTAAAAATCTGAAATGAAGGAACCTGCGGGGTCCTACCTTACAGCCACGGGGCGAGAGCACGGTTACTGCGCCGTTTTCAGAAAGGAAGTGTGGGTCTCCCTCGTGGCAGCCCGGCCTCGTGGGAGGACAGGTGTGCGTGGCTGTCCAACAGGAAGTGTGTGAATATGTGCGTTGTATGTCACGGGGGGTGGGGGAACCCAGACTCCCTTTGAAGATGGCAGAGCCGCGAGGGGGTCGGGACCCTGCCCGCGCACTTGGGACCTGACGCTTGGCTCCTCCTCCCTGCAGGGCATGCTCCTGAAGCGGAGCGGCAAGTCTCTGAACAAGGAGTGGAAGAAGAAGTACGTGACCCTGTGTGACAACGGCGTGCTGACCTACCACCCGAGCCTGCATGTGAGTACGGCCCCAGGCGCACGCCTCGGCGGCACACGCAGGGAGCCCTGGCGCCACGCCAGCCTCCCGTCTGGAGTTCGCTTAGCTCCGGGGCTCCTGCTCCGTGAGGAGAGATGGTACCGACCCCCACCCTCCATTAAAATGAGTATCATTCCCCTTCCTACGCTCCCTAACAGTCACTCTGCGGTTCTTTCATTCTACAGAGGAAGTACTAGAAAAGACACAGCCCAGGTAAACGTTTAAAGGAGCGTAGACAGAAGACAGGAGGAGCAAGTAGTGAAAGGAGCAGATGGCGCAGTGGGCTGAGCTGCCGCTTGGGCTGCCTGCGTCCTTATTGGAGGGCCTGGGTCGAGGCCTGCCTGCTCCCTGCTTTCCGTCCAGCTTCCTGCTCGTGCCCCCAGGAGGCAGCAGGTGATGACCTGCGTGCTCGAGTTCCTGCCACCCACTTGGGAGACCTTCTGGTGCCTGGTCCCAGCCTGTCCTGTCATCCACCCGTCAGCTGGTGTGGGCACCTGGGGAGGAACCAGTGGATGGAAGACCTCTCTGTCTTTCCCTCTGTTTTGCTCCATCTTTCAAATAAATAAAGAAATCTTAGAGAGAGAAGGAACGCGTGCATCTGTCTGAAAATCTAGAGTGAAGCAGGCTGGCGCCGCGGCTCACTAGGCTAATCCTCCGCCTTGCCGCGCCGGCACACCGGGTTCTAGTCCCGGTTGGGGCGCCGGATTCTGTCCCGGTTGCCCCTCTTCCAGGCCAGCCCTCTGCTGTGGCCAGGGAGTGCAGTGGAGGATGGCCCAAGTGCTTGGGCCCTGCACCCCATGGGAGACCAGGAGAAGCACCTGGCTCCTGCCATCGGATCAGCGCGGTGTGCCGGCCGTAGCATGCCGGCCGCGGTGGCCACTGGAGGGTGAACCAATGGCAAAGGAAGACCTTTCTCTCTGTCTCTCTCTCTCACTGTCCACTCTGCCTGTCAAAAAAAAAAAAAAAAATCTGGAGGGAAGCAAACGATTGCATCTGAGCCCAGATGCAGCTCTGAGCAGCGGGGAGCAGAGGAGGAGTGGCGTGCAGCTCCGGACTCCGTTTCTGCCGTCAGCGCGGGCACCTGCCAGTTCTCGGGTGGTCAAATGCTGTACTCGCGAGTGCTCCAGCGAGCCCACCCCTACCTGGTTTTAGGGGGAGAAGTCCTTTCCATTATTAGCGATAACAAGTGGTTCCCTTGCTGTTCCATCTGCTTCTGGTGTAACGTACCCTCTCCCCTTTGTCCGACAGCAGTGGCTGCACCGCCAGTTACCGTGGCCAGAAGGAAGCCAGTCACCTGTGTGGGTGTCTCTGACGGGTCTCTGGTTCTCAGCGGGATGCCGCCCGTGCTTTGCTTTGGGGGTATATGCAGGTGATCCCCGACGTAACAGTGGCTCAGCCTCGCCATCGTGCGAAAGCAAACTTGCACAGCCGTTCTGTCCTTCCCTCTCAGCTGGGTATCTCATAGGTCCAGGAGATGTCGGGCGCCTAGACTTGTGTTACGTTACCTTGCCCAGTTCTAGGCCAGGGGGCGTGTTCCGAGCACGCGTAAGGTAGGTTAGGCTAAGCGGCGGTGTTTGGTTTTCAGTAGGTGATGGTGCATGCAACGCGTTTTGAACCTCGGATGAGTTTGTCAGGAAACAGCCCCATCACGTGTCAGGCGCGCACTTTGTAGATGCACGTAAGACACAGCTACCACCTCTCCGTTTCCCTGTGACGTGTGCAGGGACCACAGGTGTACTCCGTCATATACAGATAGTCTCCATCGCAGTACCCAGCGCCCGCCCGGGACACCGGGACACCGGGGCAACACCGGTTCTGGCTCCGGAGCTGCCGGGCCCCCGGGGCAGGCGCCCTGTAGGTGGCACACTTCCTCATGATGCCCCGGAGGAGGGCGCAGGCCTGTTGACCCAGCGGCTCTGTAACTCAGAGAGCAGAGTCAGAGTGGCCTTCTTGGCCGTGCCCGGCGGCCAGTGCAGAGTGAGATCAGATCGAGGGCACGTTCCAGGTCACCAGCTGCACACCTGCCCCGCCCAGGCTCAGTGAGCGACGTTGGCTTCTCGCCGAGGGGGGGCCGGGCCCCGCTCTGTCCAGCAGGTTCCTCCAGGAGGGTCTGTCTCTGCTTCTGTGTCACTCCAGCCCTTGACTGCTCACCGTCAGAGCCCCAGACACGTCCTCTCACAGGCGTGGGCGTGCCGTGGCCTCCCGTTTGCCTGTCCTGTCAATTCTCTTTATCCTCCTAGGATGCGTGACTGGTCCAGGAGCGCAGAGAGGGACACCTTGGGGCCTCTCAGGAGATGATGTCATTTCCAAGTGCAGACCAGTTAAAGCCAGTCTCCTGGGAGCTCCCTGGCTGACGCCAGGAAGGGACTGAGTCGCCAGAGCAGGGGAGGTGGCCTGGCCTTGCCCGTCGCTGCCGTGCCATCCCTGTGGGATCTCCAAGCCAAGCTCCTGCAGCAGGTGGCAGGTGTCTCACAGGGGCCTGGAGCGCATCGCTTCTTTGTGAGCTGCGGGGGCACTGCACATCCCTGATGGCCGAGTCAGTGCCTAAGAGACACAGGTGTGCCCAGGGGGCCCCGTCAGCAGAATCTAGGCAGCCCCACCCCCCATCGCCCCATGGGAGACTTGGGAGCTCAGGAAGGTGTTGCTAGTTCAAGTCCCAGCATCCTGCCCCTTGGAGAAAGGCCCAGGTGTTTCAGTCCGGAAAGTTCCCAAAGCTGCTAGATCCAGGTGGTGTCAGTTAGACACGGGTCCGCCCATGGCACCCGCTGTCCGCTTAGCTCCAAGCTGCACGTCGGCAGGAGGCCCACTGAGGCGACAGCTCGGGCGATGGTGGCATTTGTGGTTCGGTATTGGGGAGCTCGGGGATTCAGAGCCGTCGTGCTCGGCCACAGCCCTGTCACTGGCCACACGGTCGGAGTGCTCCCGTCTGACCCTGAGGACCCCGCCGCGTGGGATGCGGGCCTGTGTCCAGCCCTCTAGACTGACATGAAGTCATTACAGGTGGTCAGTGGCCCAGAATAGCTCCCTCCTCCCTGCCACAGGGAAACGTGCTCCGTGCTGCGTCCAGCACTCTTTCCTGGGGGACGGAGCCCCTGGGAGCCCCGGAGCAGGGCTGTGCCCTGAGCACAGGGTGTAAGCCTCAAGCCCGTTGCTTTCCATCGAGCTGCAGGAAGGGACCAGGCTAAACAATTTGTGGAAATCCAGCAAGAGTGGGACGACCACACCAGCCTGTCCCACTTCACAGTGTCGTCCACTGCCGTTTAACAAGTGTAGGTAATTAACTTACAAAGGGAAGACAAACAAACAAACAAAACTAGCAAGCTGCTTAAGGAACGGATTCCAACAGGCAGTCCAGCTTTCCCACGCTGTCCACAGGAGATGGGCTCCAAGACCCCCTGGTGGCAGCATCGTGGGTGCCAAGTCCCAGTGTAAATGACACTGTGTTTGCATACCATCTAGGCACAGCCCCCTTACAGCAGCTGACACAGAGAAAACGCTGGGCGAGCTGGTCGACCGCACAGTGGCGGGAGGAGTGAGAGGTGGGGCACTGTGCATGGCCAGCACAGACGCAGGAGTTTTTGGAGTGTTTTCAGCCCTCTGTTGGTTGGGTCTGCAGATCCGGGAGCCGACTGGTTCTACAGTGGGGTCAGGGTGGGGCGAGGAGAGCACCCGGCTGCTCCTGACACGTAGGATTCAGATTGGAGGCTAGGAGATGCCGGGCAGCAGCCCTGGCAGCACTTTTGTGTGTGCGTGCACTGCTGTGTGGCTGCCTCTATGCCAGCACACACGTTTGTCCCCTGCCCATGTGGGTGCTGCTCCCGGTCTCTGGTGGGCTGAACCCTGAATCCTCAGGCCACCCTGCACTTGGCTCTCAGGCCAACTTGGGGGGAAGGAGAGGGAAGACTGGAGCGAGAACGAGCGGCGGAATCCAGCTGATAGGCAAAGAGGGTCCCTCGCGTGACGCCGCTTCACAGAGTTCCTAGCAAATGGAATTGAAAGGTATGTTTACTTCAGCACAGGAAGCCTTTGGAACCATGCTTAGTTTTGTTCATAATCCGCATTGTCCGTGAACTTGGTGGAGACCCCGCCTATGCGTGCGTTTCAGAATGTCTCTGCATCAGAAGGAACGTAAGCTTTTGATTGCGGCTGTGCACAAACAGCGTTTTGAAGCTCCCTCGTGGCGCTGCTGCCCTTTGCCCCGCCACCCCCACCGTTGGTTTAGAGGGCTCAGGAGTACTTGTTCTTGAGGATCAAAACCCAGGACGTGGAGCCCCTGCCCAAGGCCAACACTGCCCGGGCTGGGCGGCCCGTCCTGGAGGCCTCGTCTCCTCTGGGAGGGCAGGGGCACTCCTCCTGGGGGCCGCTCCGGACGGCACCTGCTTTGGTGAGCGAAGTTCAATTCCCCGGTGGGCTGAGAGTTCAGTTCGCTGTGGGACGGAGCTGCCACCTCCCAGTGGCGTGCTCAGCGCCCGTGGCTGCCAGCAAGGCCCCTGCTCAAGCATGCGCTTGGAGAGGGTCCCTAGCAGCAGTGGCTCTGGCTTTGCCGACCCCCGGCAGGCAGTGTGGAGGCCAGGGACAGACGGGCTGTGCTGTGGGTGAGGGTGTGAGGATGTCTCCACTGGATGCCCTTACAGGTGTCTCCCGGAAGGGTTCATTTGGGTGCCTCAGGCAGCATTGCACAGGGGTCTGTGGAACAGATCATCCCTGGGACATGAACCCCAGGTTTCCATCCCAGACGGGTGCTTTCCATGCTCTGTGTGCTAGAATAGAAACCCGGCCCCTCGATGAAGCCAGCAGCGCTGTGTGGCCCCAGCTGGACTGTGGACTCCTTGAAACCCTGACCGGAGCTTGGACATGCAGCACTGCTGCCCCTCTACCACTGACCTGAGGCTCGGTGGCTCTCATGTGCTTAGGACGGGACGGTGCATTGTCCCCATGGCCGCCCGCAGGTTTCCTCAAGGCAGGGGCTTTGAGCAGGGGCC